TGATAGCAGACAAGTTTTGGAAACCGCCGAATTCCTAATACACTAATTTGCTTCTTAACATTTGTATTGCCATTTCTCCAGGTGCTGTTATTGATGGTATTTACATAGTAATGATAACAGCGTTCCCCATCTGTGAAGTTCTGTGAAGTTTTAATTTTATGTTTGAGTTCAGGGCACACTGTCGCTGAAATGCCTGAGGATAGAAGTTTAAAAAAAATAATCTAAAGGAGACTTTTTCCTTTAAGGGAGAAATAGTGTGGCTTGGGGATTTTAGAAAGATCAGGTGGCTGAGTGAATTAGGTGAGTGAATAGAAATCAGGTGTGCTCAGTTCTAACTGGTTCTCCAGCACTCTTAGGTGACCTTGGGCAGGTTTCTATCATTTACCTCCTCTATAAAGGAGGGGAACATCATAATAGTTCTGTAGTGGGGGTGACATAAAAGTAGTTAAGAATGGCAAACTTTTACAACGATACAACCAGTGAAAATTGTGACTTTAAGATTCTGTCTTTAAGGTGCCATATTATAGTGAAATAACTATAGAAAATGATATGTTTTAAGTGGGACTAGGTTGGGGGGGATATTAAAAGTGAAAGTTTTCAGATAAAATATAAATTGGCAAGAATCTTTGTTAATATTCCTGAAAAAAGCTATTTCCTTATGGAAAAGAACAATTTAACACAGACTGTAAAACATAAAATTTTAAAGTCAGATTTTTCCTTTGCAGAAATAGTGTTTAAGAGCATATGCGTAGCTTAAGGTAGAACTTCTATCAGTGCTTTTTCTTTTGTGAAATTTCCTTTATGTTTTGGGGGGAGGTCATTTGCATGAAAATTAAAGGATCTTTCTGGTTCTTGTCTTTGTCCCAAGAGCGCCTCTGTTATAGTTTCCGATGTAAGGGAGACAAGTCTGATTCTATATAAGCTAGATGTGTATACCAGTGTCTGCTTCATCTTATACTTCAGTAACAAAAACTTTTCCTTTACCCTCTGGTTATTAAGTTCTATGAGGCTCATATTCATCAACTAAAATTATCATTATTTACTAGTACATTCAGGTTAACTGAAATTCTGATCAAGCCATGGTTATTGTGCCAATTCCAGAAAGACAACCTAGGTTTCTTGGACAACATAGGAAATAAATGCTTAACCTAATCTTTTTTTTTTTTTTTTTTTTTTTTACAGAGAAGACTGATTAAAGTAATAGGGGGAACTCAGTATAAAATATTTTAATAATCCTAAATTTTTAAAAAAACTCTGATCTTGAAAAATGTTTGCAGTAGAAGCCATGAAGATGCTAATGTCCTCTAGTCTTGTGCCTTACTGTTGCCAATCTTTATTTCCTTTGTTGAGAAGTGCATTAAGTTGGTAGATGAATACGGTACCTTAAATAGAACTAATTTAGATTTCAGTAAAGCCTTTTGCAAATTCTTTAACGATAGCCCTGTCAATAACGTGGTGAAATGCAGGCTGTTTTATGTTATTATTAAGGGTTCAAGGCTAGCCAAACAGGACTTGGAAAGTTGTGATCAGCTGCATATTAGCTGATAAGGTGCTTCCTTGTAGAGTGCCTTAAGATTGTACTTGCCTGCTATCTCCCATGTCGATTCTCTTCAAATCTTCATACAGCCTCACAAGTCTTAGATTTGGCTCCTGCTTTAAGGCAGTATGATGAAAGACATCCCTTAGAATATTAGTAGGTGTTGTGAAAAAAGGGGGCAGTGGCCAAATTATTTAGAGGACATTGGATTAGAAAGGAAACAGGTTTCTGTACTGGAAAACTTCTCAGGAGTTTAGCAGGCAGATTTACAGTGTGAAACTTCAAAAAAGCAGTAAGTGATCATCCTTTCCAAAAAAACGTTTGGAGGATGGATTTTGGAGAGGGATCTGGAGGTGGGGATTCTCCTTTCAGACTCAGGGTAGATAGGCCTGTTGCTTGGAGTGGGGGGGGGGGGGGTGTGGGGGTGCAGATGAATAATGCAGCTAGGTGGAAGGTGGGGAGGCTGGAGCCTTTGGAGGCCTTTGGCAAAGGTGCCTAGGCAAGGGTAACCTGCAGTCACTAGGGTATAGGGTGGTGCAGTTCACTAAGACAAGAATGTGGATTTAGGGACAGGGTTCCAGGAAAGGGGTGTGATACACAGAAGATGTTCAGTTTTGTTTTTTTTTTAAGTTTATTTTTATGTATTTATTTTGGGAGAGAGAGAGTGCACATGAGCTAGTGGGAGAGGGGCAGAGAGAGAGAGGGAATCCCAAGCAGGCTCCTCACTATCAGTACAGAGCCCTATATGGGATTCAAATTCCTGAACCATGAGATCATGACCTGTGTCCAAGTCGGATGCTTAACCAGCTGAGCCACCCAGGCACCCCAAGATGTTCAGTTTTGAACATGAATAGACGTGTTTCTTGTGGTGTTTAATGTATTTGGACCTAAAACATCTATACCTTAGATATGCATCCATTCAAGTTTGGTATGGGGTGGACAGAATATTCTTAGGTGGAAGTAGAAACACAGAATACTTGTAGTTTTCAACTTAAGTCTGTTTTTTTTTCCTCAACTTGTCTTTCATCCATACTAAATTTTTTGGCTGGAGTTACCAGATAAACAACTATTGTAATTTGTCATTTTCCCCTGTTTTGTGATTGACTTGTGATTAAGAACTTATAGAATGTTCTATAAAAAGTAGGCTACATACCGGAGTTTAATCATCACAAATTGAGTATCGATTATATTATAATGAAAGATTTTTTATTTGTACTAGGTATCTGCTTAGGATGCAGTGGTGAAATTGATAGTTTTTGCCTCTTAACTTCAAATCAAGTGTAGAATACAAAGAAGTAAGAGGTATTTATGGTACTCAGACAATTTAGGCATTAAATGTCATAATACAGCTTTGTGATGTCTATTGCCAATTTATTTAGTAGAGCCATTCTCTTATTTTTCTCTGTTAATTAACATAAGTTCTGTGGCCTGAGGACTTCCTGGTCTCTTTTTCAGGAGAAGCTAGGGAGGATGGAGGTAGTGCATGGCCAAGGGGGTGGGGGTGGGGCGGGGAAGGATGAGAGGGCCTAAAGTAATGTTGGTGTACAGATCTGCAGAAACTGCACTGGACTTTTATTTGGGTCATGGATCATTTACAGACCTGAAAGGATTTGAAAAATGTATACATAATGACTTCAGCAGTTTTGTATATTAAAATGTACAAATGAAATTTGTACTGAGAATGAGTTAATTTTCTTTAAAATATGTTTGTTGAGAGTGGTGGGTCTCAAAGTGAGGAGTGAATATTGCCCGCCCCCCCGCCAATGGCCAAGGGGCATTTGGCAATGTGGAGACATTTTTGGTCGTCACAGCTGGGGATGGGGAGTGCTACTGGAGTCTAGTGCGTAGGTGTCAGAGATATTGCTAAACATCTTACAGTGCAGAAGGACAGACCTTCACACGAAGAATTATCAGGCCCCAAATGTCGGTAGTGCCGAGGTTGAGATACCTTGCTGTACAGAGACCTGGGATTACATTTCAGCCCTGCCGTATAGCTGTGTGGCCAGAGCCTCGGTTTCCCCATTGTATCATTTGGATAATAGTTTTACTGACCTTATAGGGTTATTAGAGTAAATAAGAGGCTTATAATGTTGCATTGAGTTATATAATGCATAGAATTATGTAAGTATAGCCTATTATAATGATTTTGTCTATGAAATAAATTTATATAGAGAGTCAGTGAATATGATTGTATATCTAAGAAAAAAAAAAAAAAACAACCTTTGGGCTCCCTGAGGATGAGGACTGCACCTGTTTTGTTTATCACTATAGATTCAGTGACTCTTTATAGGCCTAGGATGTAGCACGCACTTGGTAAATATTTGTTGAATGAATGAACACATAAATTGTCAGGACTCAGACTTCCTCCATTTGCTCTTGAAAATAAAACTGTCTTTGCTAGAAGTCTTTATAGCAGAGGTACCACTAAGTAAGGATGCATGTTGAAGTCCCTGTCAGTATTGAAATACAGAGAATCTGGTGGTGACATTCCCAGCTTCTCATACTGCCTGTCTGAACTATGGACCATCTTAGTTAATCAGGATATATGAATCTTCTTTTTAGAACTGATACGGGATTATCTTCATCACTAACACATTTTAAGAAAATCTTATTTTTTTAAAAAAAAATCTCAATTATTTTTCCTGCAATAATTCACTTGATAACTTTATTTTTTAAATTTTTAAATTTTTTTTTTCAACGTTTATTTATTTTTGGGACAGAGAGAGACAGAGCATGAACGGGGGAGGGGCAGAGAGAGAGGGAGACACAGAATCGGAAACAGGCTCCAGGCTCTGAGCCATCAGCCCAGAGCCTGACGCGGGGCTCGAACTCCCGGACCGCGAGATCGTGACCTGGCTGAAGTCGGACGCTTAACCGACTGCGCCACCCAGGCGCCCCGATAACTTTAATTTTATATTGAGAAATGGTAACATTGATTGCATTTCCATATGGTTTTTAATAAAACCATGTAGATCTGGAAAGCAGCTTCCATATGCTGCAAGACTCCAAATGTTTTGGAGTCAGAAGATTTAGTTTTAAACCCATATTCATCGCTTATTATGTCTTTGACTTTGGGCAAATATCCCATATGACTGAGCTCTCAGTTTCCTCCTTGTCTGCCTCATCAGTCCCCAGGATTACTCTGAATATTACGTGAGTTGACATTTGTGAACGTTCTTTGCAAATTCTAAAACATGTATTATAGCAAATATGTTACTTTTACTTACATGCAAAATAATTTTGTATGCTTGCTGCTCATATTCTGGCCTCTGGACAAGTTATACTCAGTACTCTGTTATAGCACCCCAAAAAGGTAATAATTTTAATATAACTAGAAGTACTGTTTATAGTAAGTAGAATATGCATTTATACTTTAATAAATACAACTTTAGAATGTCTTCTAGGGTGATATGGCTATAAATGACTCTAATTCGATTTTTTAATATAAATTTATTTGTTAGCTATGGAGACCAAAGGCTACCACAGTCTCCCTGAAGGTCTAGATATGGAAAGACGGTGGGGTCAAGTTTCTCAGGCTGTGGAACATTCTTCCCTGGGACCTACAGAGAGGACCGATGAGAATAACTACATGGAGATTGTCAACGTAAGCTGTGTTTCCGGTGCTATTCCAAACAACAGTACTCAAGGAAGCAGCAAAGAAAAACACGAACTACTCCCTTGCCTTCAGCAAGACAATAATCGGTCGGGGATTTTAACATCTGATATTAAAACTGAGCTGGAGTCCAAGGAACTTGCAGCAACTGTAGCTGAGTCCATGGGTTTATACATGGATTCCGTAAGAGATGCTGACTACACCTATGATCAGCAGAACCAACAAGGAAGCATGAGTCCAGCGAAGATTTATCAAAATGTTGAACAGCTGGTGAAATTTTATAAAGAAAATGGCCATCATCCTTCCACCCTAGGTGGTGTGAACAGGCCCTTGAGATCCTTCCTGTCTGACTCTGGGAGCTCTGTGAATGGTGGGGTCATGCGTGCCATCGTTAAAAGCCCTATCGTGTGTCATGAGAAGAGTCCATCCGTTTGCAGCCCCCTGAGCATGGCCTCTTCAGCTTGCAGCCCTGCAGGAATCAGCTCTGTGTCCTCCACGTCTGCCAGCTTTGGCAGCTTCACAGTGCACAGCCCTATCACCCAGGGGACTCCGTTGACATGCTCCCCTAATGTTGAAAACCGAGGCTCCAGGTCGCACAGCCCGGCACATGCCAGTAATGTGGGCTCTCCTCTATCAAGTCCATTAAGTAGCATGAAATCCCCAATATCCAGCCCTCCGAGTCATTGCAGTGTAAAATCTCCGGTCTCCAGTCCTACTAACGTCACTCTGCGATCCTCTGTGTCTAGCCCTGCAAACGTCAACAACTCAAGGTGCTCTGTTTCCAGCCCTTCCAACACAAACAACAGATCCACGCTTTCCAGTCCAACTGCTAGTACTGTGGGATCTATCTGTAGCCCTGTAAACAATGCCTTCAGCTACACTGCCTCTGGCACCCCTGCTGGATCCAGTGCAGCCCGGGATGTGGTTCCTAGTCCAGACACCCACGAGAAAGGTGCTCACGAGGTCCCCTTTCCTAAGAGTGAGGAAGTAGACAGTGCCATCTCCAATGGTGTGACTGGCCAGCTTAACATTGTACAGTACATAAAACCGGAGCCAGACGGGGCTTTTAGCAGCTCATGCCTAGGAGGAAATAGCAAAATAAATTCTGACTCCCCTTTCTCGGTACCAATAAAACAAGAATCAACCAAGCATTCGTGTTCAGGCACCGCTTTTAAAGGGAATCCAACAGTGAACCCATTTCCATTTATGGATGGTTCATATTTTTCCTTTATGGATGATAAAGACTATTATTCTCTATCAGGAATTTTAGGACCACCTGTGCCCGGCTTTGATGGTAACTGTGAAGGCAGTGGATTCCCAATGGGGATTAAACAGGAACCAGATGATGGGAGCTATTACCCAGAGGCCAGCATCCCTTCATCCGCTATTGTTGGTGTGAATTCAGGTGGACAGTCCTTTCACTACAGGATTGGTGCTCAAGGTACAATATCTTTATCACGAACAGCTAGAGACCAATCTTTCCAACATATGAGTTCCTTTCCTCCTGTTAATACTTTAGTGGAGTCATGGAAGTCACATGGTGACCTGTCGTCTAGAAGAAGTGATGGGTATCCAGTTCTAGAATACATTCCAGAAAACGTATCCAGGTAAGTTGGCTTTTCCTCCTTTTTTGAAAATCATGGCTTTATAAAATGTTGAAAAAGTATTTACAGTTGGTAATTTTAAACACATTTCAGTTTACTGTTTTATGTTTGCTTTCAGGATGGTCATTGAGTGCTCCCCTCTTTGCTTGCTAGTATAATGTTACTGCTTTTTTGAAATAGAGGAAAAAAAAAAAAAACCTCTTAAAATCTTTTAGGAAATACTGGTGTTGATTTTCAAGGAGGGAGCCTATATGGGTGTCCCCTCTCCCGCTTCTGCATTGCCTATTGTAGGTGTTTGGGAAAGGCTTGTTTTGTACTGCCTGCTACTGTATTTACTTTAGCAGACTAGCACTAGACTGTTTCTTTAGCTGTATACCAGTTCACTAGAATTGTTTTAAATTCGTTTCTTTGTGGTTTTAGTCTTTTTCCTTAGCTTTTTTTTTTTTAAATTCATCTCTTCATTGGTTGTGAAATATGAAAGTGAACTCCAAATCAGTTACCCACAAGCTCTGCACCCTCTTGGTCCTTTTCTAGGTAGGTTAATTGTATGTAAGTTATGGTTTTCAATACAAATAAATCATTTCCTTAACTGTGAGGGCTTTTAAAGACTCAGCACATCTAAAATTACTAAGTGGACAGTCTTGTTTTCTTACTCATATTGGAAGTAAACTATGTCACAGCAGTTTTGAATTGGTAGATTTACAACTTTTATGATCTGCAAGAGGACATGCATTACTTGCTGTAAAATATCTCTTGACTTTCCTTTTTGCAGATGGCATATTGTGTATGTTTAGAAAAAAACGAGGTTTTTGGTATGACTGTAAAGGGTGGTTCTAAGTTATGTAGTGAATACTTGTATTGAACTTTGCTTCAGTACTGTTTTTATTACATGGTTGTGATAAATGATCCCTTTATTGAACATATAAAAAATAGATTTCCTAGATGTAGTTCATTCCTTTGGCATTTAGGAATACACATATTTTCCCTAAAAATTTATGTTATGGGAGATACGTTCATCCCATTAGCAACAGAGGGCTTACATGTATTTCTGTATCTTTCTTCTTCCGTTCTGCCTTCCTTATGAGCCAAAAGCTAAAACTTTAATTGGTGCACTCCTTTCCTTGTCATTGATGCACACCTTGCTCCTCTGGCCTTTATGGAAGCAAATATTCCATTTAAAGGATACGTTATAACAATTGTCCATAGCACGAACTGTCATACTGGGATCCTGCCTCTGTCTCTTAAATTCTAAACACTAATGCAACGTAGCCTAAGACAGCATGGCTTTCATCAGAAACAAACTCAGCATGTGGTCTACTGCTAGTGCTTTGTTTTACTTTCAGAGAAGGAAATTTTGCACATGATGTTGATATTTTCGTGACTGATGTTTTTAGTGAGTTAGTATGAGGGAGTGTAGCCTGGTAGTGGAGGGCATGCTGCCATGGTCGAAATCTCAGCTGTGCCACTTAATTGCTTTGTGTCACTGCCCAAATCCCTTCACCCCTGGGCTTTGGTTTTCTCCTCCCCGGGGAGGGGGGGGGGGAGAAAAAAGGAAAGAAAAAGAATTCAGTAGTACCCATCTCAAAGGTAGTTAGGATAATTGAGTTAATTTATGAGAAGCACTTTGCCTATCATCTGGCATGCAGTAGGTATTATATACATTTTAGCTATTCCTGTTAACATTTGATTAGGTTGCACAATTTTTAGTTTTCATTTCTTTCAGTTTTTTGTTTTCTTCATTATATGAAATTACATAAAATATTTTGAAGAAATATTTTATACATAGTTGAAAGAAATATTTGTTAATTCTTATGATTGAATCCTACTCTGATTATTATTATTTTTTATGGTTAGGCACCATACATTTGCCATTATGTTTCTTTTTTTTTTTTTTCAATGTTTATTTATTTTGAGAGAGAGAGAGTGTACACCTGCACGAGCCAGCATGAGCAGGGGGAGGGGCAGAGAGAGAGGGGGAGAGAGAATCCCAAGCAGGTTCCATGATCATCACAGAGTCCCACTAGGGGCTCCATCTCACAACCAGGAGATGATGACCTGAGCTGAAATTAAAGACGCTTCACCGACTGAGCCACCCAGGCACCCCTGCCACTACATTTCTATTTATGCTTTATTAGTTTTGAAGGCAGTTGCTTTAGGTAATGATATTCTGGGTAGCAATAGTAGAGATATAGTAGATAAAATCATCATCAGTTCTCTGCTCTGTTTTGTTCTGCATCCTCTTTCCACTACTTTAATCGTAGTTTTTACACTCCTGAAGCCCCTCCCGATGTTCTAGTGACCCATAGCCTTAAACATGTTAATGTGAATCAGGACCTTGAGCCTGCTCTGTGTTTGTGGGCACTGGAGGTGTTGTGAATTGTCTCTTCAGGAGGATTCCAGAATTCTTCACGTATGTGTTAGCATCATCAGAGGGGATTCATTTTGTTTACATGCATGTTAGTGTTGTTGCTAGTTTGTAGAAGTTTCCCCCAAACTTTTAATAACAAAGCTTTATTGTCATTTGAAGCCACTTATAGCCTGCTGGTTCTTTACAGCCTTTTCTGGTGAATATTATCGAAACCTGCTATTTTGATCATTCTCAGAATAAAGGCTCAAGGATCAGAAGATATTTAGATTTTTTTTCTAGATTGCAGTCTACGTGTTATAATATTTAACCTCATCTATGCTTCATCTCTGGTCTCTTGTGTCTTTTGGATCAAAATCGAGCCTTTTTGTCTATACCTTAATGTGGGATGATGATACCCTGTTCTGGGGGATGTGGAATAGATTAAAGAATTACAGGTTGTGGAGGATCAAGGCGGTGTGTGACTGTTCCTAGGTTTTGTAATAATCATTGTCTTTAGATTGAACTGGAAACTGTTTTCTAGTAGGTGTCAAAGTGTTGTTTGGGATTCCTGAGACCCTTTCAAGGAGGGTTGTGAAGTGAAAGATCATGCATCGGTAAAAGATCCATTCAAAATGGAAGATAGACCAGTGCTAGTGTATGAAAAATTTACTAATAGGGTTTCAGATTCTACATTGCAACTAACCTTTAAGAAACTATTCACTTGCAGTTTTCAAGGTAGTGTCAAAGAATCACATCTGCATTTATCTCCAATGATCGTTAAAATGCTCCTCCTTTTTCCAACAACATATCCGTATGAAGCCAGATTTTCTTCATACTCTTGAACCAAAACCTGTCGCCACACATTGAATGCACAAGTAGATATGAAAATCCAGCTGTCTTCTATTGAGGGAGACAATAGACTTGCAAAGATGTAAAACGGTGCCTCTCCTCATTCAAGTTTTTGGGGAAACATAGTTATTTTTTTCATAGACATATGCTTATGTGAACATGTAATGGCTTCTTATTTTTAAATGATTTAAAATGAGCATTAGTTTTAAATTCTAATATGGTAAATACCATTAGATCTAGCTGACCTAAACAAAAGCTTTTTGGAATCCTCCATACATTTTTAGAGTGGAAAGGTGTCCTAAGACCCCAAAGTTGAGAATTGCCTGTCTCTTCTATTCTCTACACCCTTTGGCAGTGAATGAAAAAAGACGTTATTACTTTATTTATGTTAGCCTTCCTGAATATGATGCTGAGGAAGGAGTGCCCTATTCAAATAAGAAAAATGATTCTCCTCTAGTTAATTTTTCAAGCTGATAGAAGTGAGTAATGGCTGTGAAGTGTGTGTTGTCCTCCTCTCTGTGGGCATCCTGTAAGAGCGGTGACGAAAGCCATCTGTCTGTTAATCATTTCCAGTGAGTGGATTGCCTGAGCACCACAGTGTAAAGTAAATTATGACACAAGCTGAATGTAAAGCTTTGAGGATGGACACTGGACCTAGTTGTGTCATGTCGATTGGAGTTTCCCTGTCATCTAGGACACAAACAAAACTGTGACCATGGTGAGTCACAGCTTCTCTTGGCCTCAGTTTCTTCATTTAAAGTGGTTGTGTTGAACTCGGTGCTCTCCTGAGGGTCTGCCAGCAAAACCATGGAGTGGCTGTGCAGTTTCCTTGGAGTTCTGTTTGTGAAAAATCAAGAGTATCCTTTAACATATTTGCTAATCTGGTTTGGAGTATATTTTAATGGCAGGTCCAGATCTGTGGTTTCCAGGGTGTCCTGGATACAAAAATATTATTGTAATTTTGCCATTTGTTATTACTATTTTTTAATGTTTGTTTATTTTTGAGAGAGAGAGACAGAGCATGAGTAGGGAGGGGCAGAGAGAGAGGGAGACACAGAATCCAAAGCAGGCTCCAGGCTCCGAGCTGTCAGCACAGAGCCTGACATGGGGCTTGAACCCACGAACAGTGAGATTGTGACCTGAGCAGAGCCAAATTGGATCCAAAGTCAGATGCTTATCTGACTGAGCCACCCAGGTGCCCCACCGTTTACCATTTAAAAACAAGAAGCAGTGACTTATTTCAGTTTGAAAAGCAGAGGTTTTTTAAAATCAAATCTTTTGTAAAATTTGATACTCACTATGAATTTATTTTTCTTTTAATTTCACCATTTCTTTTGAAGACAGGGTTTTTCTGTTGACACAACATTGATGTTTATGGTGATGGTCATAGTCACCCTGATAGCATCATAACATGCGCTAACATTGACTTAGACCTTTGAATGTAAAGTTCACTGTTTCAAAGGGCATATTCTGGTAGGTTTCAAGATGAATGATCAGGTGTTTATCTTATTCTATGCTGCATTTTTTTTTCCATGATAGAGTGAAACAATTTAGTAAATAACCTATGGTTATTTTTTTTTTTTCAGTTGTGCCTAGAGTTTTTAAAAACTTACCTTCTGTAGTACACCAAAAGGTTTAGAATTCAAGGAGTTTGTTAGAATAGTTACCTGTCCCTTAGCAGACTTTCTGAGTAAACCAGTGAGATCTAAATATGTCTATGTAATGCAGAGTATGAAAGACTGATGGGTTGTTTTTTTTTTTTTTTTTTTGGAGGGGAGGTGGAATTGGAGTGATTGAGTATTCATAC